AGAGGCTATTTCTGGAGAAAATAAATGGGTAAATTGAATAAAACCCCATACAGTTTCCTAGAGGAAACTTTGATATAGATTAGTTTGCCTGTCTTCACAAGTTATTTGTAATACATATGAATTAGTCTCCAGAATATATAAAGATCTTCTTTAAAAATCAGTAAGAGGAAATATGAATGGCCAATAAACATGGAGCAATGCTCAATGAAATGCATATTAAAACAATGAAATACCATTTTAAAGTCACTAGCATATAAAAATTAATACTAAGTTAGAGAACAAATTGGAATCCAACAATACTAAGTAAAGGAATGATCTAGATCAATGGGAATTCTCATACTCACTTTTGAAACAATTCAGCATTACCTTATAATTAAACATTCACAACTCTACTCCATGATATATACCCAAACAACAGCAAAATACCTGACACTCAACAATTCTACTCCTTGGTATATACTCAAAAATATACCAATACATCTCTTGCACATGTGCACTAGCAGATAGCTACGAGAATATATATAGCAATGATTTGTTCATGATAGCCAAAAGTGGAAACAACCTAAACCTTGACAAAAGAATAAACAAATCATTGGTGGTATATTTGTGAACTGCAGCTGCACACTGAAATATGAATGAGTCTTTGAAATGTTAAATGAATAAAAGCAAATCCCAGGAAGTTACAATAGAATGATATCATTTTTAGAAAATTCAAAAATAAACAGGCTATTGTTTAAAGCAGCATACATGTGTGATAAAAGTACTTTGTAAAAAGTGGGATAGTTACTTCCGAAGGAAAGGCCAGGAAATAAAACGGGGAACAGAGTTTGAGTGCTATTGATAACATTCCTTTTGTGAAGTTGAATTAATTTCATTATGTACTTCATAAATTACACAAGTTAAATGTATTCTTTGTAGCAAATGTTACATAATAACTTTAAATAATGAATTAAAAATGTCCAGTTCCAGTTTAGTAACTGATGGGATGTGGGAGTGAAGGAAAGTTGGTAACTACGGTTTCCAACTAGTTTCTGGGAAACTGAAAGACCCACTGTGAGAAGAACCAGAGCCAGGACTCCATTTACAATTGGCTTCCATTCACTCCCCAGTGTATCAGGCAAGGTCATAAGAGTATTTTTGGTCCCTTGAAAATCCAGGTATGTATTCTCCGTTCTCTAGTACATGATTACTATGATATATAGCCATAGGTCCTTTAGAGAGGATTTGAAGAACATTGAATACACTTGTGGTAGCACTGCAGGGTTCATTTCTCAAAAAACCTAGACTCTCTTTCGATCAATAACTGACCCACATCTTGAACCTGGGCAAAGGACCGTGATTTTCCATTGCAGCAGGTGACATCAGCCGTACAATGCTTTCATTGGCTACCCACCACCTGTTAAGAAAAGCATGGTCTATCAACCATCACCATAGTGGTGGTGACTCCTTCAGGTCAGAGTCTCCGAGTTCCCTCTACAACCTTACCATCTATTACAGTAACTGCGCCCACTTTGCTCTGATGGTTAAATGCCTCCACACAACCTCTGTTATTCCAGAATCCTGCTATCCTGACACTGGGGAGCATGGTTTTTCTAATCTGATATGGGACTCGGGATAGCTTTTTAATCATGCCCTGAGCCCAGAAACATTTTCTATTCATTTAATTTACTCATTTGATCTTTTGGAATTTCCATATATTGTGTGCATTAGGTTTCCTTATCTGTCTTCCTATCCCCTTGTCTTTTCCCTCATTTTCATTTGTTTTTTTTCCTATAATTTTTGCTTGATTTTCAGACCATTATTTTGATTCTTGACAGTGATCACCTTCCTTTTCTATTTCTGTATTGCATTTTTACTTAGAAAATCATGTTTAATGGTTCTAAGTCCTTTTGAGCTCTACTAGCAACTTCTTGAGAATACCTGTGTGTCTGTGTGTGGGTGTGGGTTTGGGTGTGGGTGTGTTGTTTGCTGAAGTTCTCTTTTAATTCTCTTATCAGTTGGCCATGGGCCATGGTTGAGTGCTGCTTCAAAACTCTCCTCTTTCTTCCCAGCCCAAGTAAATGAAAGCAACACGGGTGCAGCTCCCCAGGCACAGGAAAACACTTCATCCAGGTGTCAGTGGCCTCTGCAATGCCACTGGTGGTCAAAGCAATCAGTGTTCCATCATACGCAATGTGGTTCCCCACCACTGTCACCATCTCTATCATGCTGCTTTTCCCTGACACCTGGCATCAGGGTCCCCTCACAAATTTCTCATCAGCTCTGTTGCCAAGCTGCAGTCTCCAGAGCCACAGCTTGCAAAGAGCCCCTTCCCACACCACATGACTGCTGACACCTGTGCCCTGGGCACTGGGCACTGAGACGCCTCTGTGGAGGACATCCCCCCACCGGCTGCAGAGGTCCCTTTCCGGGAGCTGTGTTCTCCCTTCCATACCAGAAGCAGTTGAACAAGGCCTACGGCTCATTCCACGGTTTTGTTCTGAAGGAGAGTGCGCCCTTAAGCGTCTGCTCTTTAGCAGAGCCCTCCAGAAAAGTACCCGTCCTGTAGCTTTTCTCAGGGCAGGTGGCATAAAGGAAATCTCTGTACCTCCCTCTCACTTTTGTTGTAAACCTAAAACTGCTCTAAAATTTTTAATTTAAATTTTTAAAAATAATTTTTTAAAAAACAATTAAGGATAAAGGAGCCTCAAGGAGACAATGCCCATGCAAGTACTATTTAAAGAAGAGGGTGCCCTGGCATTCTTACATCCTCGTCTGGCCAGCTTGATAGTATTGTGGAGATGGCTCCTCAACAGCCAGAGTTTGGGGCCATTAAGACATCCTGTGAGACTAATTTCCCTTACTCATCAAGCAGCCTTTTAATCATTTCACCTTCTATCAGTTTACCTATAGGGAGAATGCTCTGGTCATATTGAACTGAGAACTCAGACCATCTGCCAGTTACATTTCTTACTGTAAATAGAAAAAAAATTGAAAGTTAAATTGTTTCTTGAAAATTGCAACTCGGATTTAAAAAAAAAAACAAGGTCACTCTTTACAGATTTGTATCATATCATATACAGGAACAATCACCTGCCTCAGCGGATCCTGAATGCCTGGCAATCAGTAAGGTTTTCCCCCTTATGCCCTTTTCTTTAATCACATCTTCTCTTTAGGAAAACACATCTAGTCTCGTGGCTTTAAATACCATCTATATAAATGAGACTCTCTAATTTATATGTCTAGCTCTGACTTCTCCCAACATTTATATATCTGAGTTATCTACTTAATAACTATAAAGACACCTCTACCTCCAGTCTAATGTGTTTGGTATGAAACTTCATATTCTCCTTTCCAAACCTGCTCCACCCAGTTTCCCTTCCCTCAGGTGAGAGCAGCACCATTCTTGCAGTTGCTCAGGCCGAAAACATAGAAGTCAACCTTCAGTTCTTTCCCTCACCCTCTACATCTAATCCAGCAGCAAGTTCTCTACCCGTTGTACCTATCATACAGATAGTAAATTTGTCCGGCTTTCCACATCTCCAGGCTATCCACCCCTCCCTCCACTCCATCTTCACCCTGGACGGAGGCACTAACATCCCTCGCCCAGCTTACTACAGGAGCTTCCTAGCTGGTCTGCCTGCTTCGGGTCCGACCCACCACAGCCTCCACGGCCCCATGATCCATTTTTTATGCTGCAGCCAGAGTGGTCTTTTACAACTAAGTCACACATCATTTTTCTGCTTAAATCTCTCCGGTGATTTCTTGCAGAACTTATAATAAAATTCACACTCTTCACCATAATAGAAAAGAGCCTCCCTGCAATGGCTTTGGACCCCCTGTCCACCCGCTCCTGCTATTCCTGCTCTCCTCCCGAAGAGCTTTAAACCTCAGATCAGAGCCTTCCCATTTGCCTCCTGGAACCAGAACTCCCCATAGCTAGATCCTCCCACTCGCTCAGATCAGATCATCTCATGATAAAGGCCTTTCCTAACCATCCTAATGTTGACCACCCGAACTTTCCCTTTATCTCTAGTGCAACATGCCTTTTTGATTTCATAGCACATATAACAAACCACTTGAAATTTTCTTACTTGCTTCCTTATTCTGTCTCTCCCTCAACTAGTATGTAAGCCAGGAGAGCAGGGACCTTGTCTGCCTTGTGAATTGTATCCATGATGCCTGAGTAAGCACCTGGCACATGACAGTGGCTCTGTAAATGCTGGCTGAATTGGACTTGGGTTCAAACGAGGCACCTGGCACTGACCCTGCAAGAAAACCACCGTCTTGGATCCCATCGTGCCACCAAATGCAGGCAAAGCAGATAAACCTGGAGATTTCACTCGAACCAGTAGTTAGCTCAATTCTCAAGCCATATACAGAGCCAGATTTTTTTTCCTTTTTGTATCTTTACACTGTAAAAATTGCTGCCTCGGCCTGCCCAACCCACTCCCAGACCAGTGGCTTCACACTGCCTGTCCCCTCAGAGCCCAGGACTCCAGTAGCCGGAGATCACCTAGGTGGTGATCTTCTCCCATGGTTTTATTTTCTCTCCTATGAAAGGATGACACATGGACTGACTGACTGACTGACTGACTAAATAAATAAATAAATGGGAAATTGCAGAATATGACGAAGCAGGGAATAAATCATAATCTTAACACTTTTAGCATATTGGGATATTTCCTTATTCTCTTTTCAATGTATTTTTTCTTGAGATAACCTGTAGTTTGCTAAATTTTTCTCATTTTGTTGTTAGCATTTACTGTCCTTTAAAAATGTACCATAAATATAATTAAACAGCTAAACAATAATTCGATGTCTGATAATTTACTGCACCAATTCTCTTTTAGACATTTTCTTTTAATTCTAACGTGGCCGTGAACATTTATTACCAAATATAAATATGCTTATATTTAAAAATGTGCCCCCAGGATAGTGACCCACCTTTCTCTGTTCCTGAGAAAACCAGATAGAACCGAATGAAAACCTTAAGAAGCCCTAAGCATTGAAAAAAACTATAAAAATTCACTCATGTAATTCACAATAAAACAATACCAAACAATGACAGAGCACCCCGTATTTTCCCTTATAGAATACAAGTATAAAAAATGCATATGATTGTAAAACGTCTGTCTCTCCTGCTAAGCCATAAGCTCCATGAACACAGAGACGCTGTCCATCTCATTCATAGTACCTAGCATGTATTAGGTGATTAATAATTACTGGATGGATGGATGATCAATATACCAATGAGAATCTGAAAGATAAAGAAAGAAGAGGACAGTTGTTGTGCACAAGGCCTCCAAACACCAACCCCCACCCCCAACATCACGCCTGGCAGCAGAACTCAGTTCCACGTCAGTTTGATTTATTCTTCATACAAATATTTTACATTTTTATTTTTAAATCATGTACACATATTCATACAAAGAAAAATAAATTTCAGGACGAACCCTCAGGACCATGGTAGTTTAAAATGAAATCTCTCTGATCATTAGCTCCTGAAGACAAGGCAAGAGGCTCAGCAGTCATTTCTGGGGGTCAGTGTAGCAACCCAAGCAGGGGACAGTTGAGAAGAATCCAAGCTGCTGCCTCATCTTACCTCAATCTTCTGGAAGGGATTTTTCACACTCTCACCTAGAAACATTTCAAGAAGTACAGCAAAGGCTTGAGGTAACACTGAACTCTCTCTTTGCTAGGAATTTGGCAAGATGGCAATCTCTAAACCAACTTTCTAGAAGTGCTTTCTAGCTCCATCCCTACTCGCAGGCCTAAGAGGAGCAGACCCTGCTGCACTCATCGGATCCCTCATCCTACTGCTCTGTCCTCTTACCAAAGGCCTCAGCACAGAGCCCTTGATCTGATCCCATCTGGTTTCTTCTAGGCTCACTCTATAATGAGCCTTCCTCCTACCCCACACCCTAACACTGACTCAAGCAGCTCTTACATTCCCCTACAATAATGATGCCAGCATTACTGCATACAGCATCATTCCCAGGGCACCCGAGAAGGCCAGGAGAGGTCCAAGAATGACAGAACTATAAGCACCCTTATCAAAACTCAGCAGCTCTGCTGAGCCAAATCAACATTTAAATCAAAAAGGCCAACTCCTGACACATCCCATCATAGATATAGTCACCACGGAGGCACATAATAGAAGAACCTCCTACACACGCTGCCCAAGGAAGCTGTACGGTTTATCAACTCCCAGTAAAAGTGGGGGAAAGAACAGACATTACATATGTGGTTGACTCTATCAGAAATGGCAGCTGATGACAACAGTTACCCTATATCTCTGGGTCCTATCCAAAAAGCAGCACCAAGAAAGAGCATGACGAGCAGAGAAATCTGTAGCTGGATGTGCAGCCCTTGAATTACCAAGGGTCTCAGAGACAACACAGCTCATTTTCCTACAATTATGTAGGAGCTAGAACACAGACCACCCACTCTACACTGAGGCAGCTCCTGAGAGGCCGTACCACTTATGGTCATCAGCCCACCCCCTTGGTAGGCCCATTTGGGGAGAGGGAGTCACGTCCAAAGCAGGGACCCCTCCAGGCAGACACTCACAGGGCAGCCCATCCCACTGTCACTGGGGTAGCCCAAACATAGCTAAGAGAGTGGACAGATCCCGGGCATCAGCTGCCCCATAGGCATCGCTCTGGCCTAACATAGACAATGCCAAACGCAGAGTGCTCCAGATGTTCTCTGACATGGCGCCCCCTTCACCCCGAGGGCCCCGGCTTTTCCTCTGCATGTTCAGGGCCTCCAAAAAGTGTTCCACAGCCTCCCTGTAGGGAAGAGGAATGAGAGCTGGTGAGAAGAACACCAAGGAAGGAGGTAGGTCAGCTGGCATGGGGAGAAAGAAAGCTGGTGTTGGTTAGTCAAGTAACAGGAGAATGAGGAGTTAGGGCCAAAGGCAGGGAGAAAGAGTTCATTCATTCATTACTCAATAGATACGCTCACCGGTGAGCCCCAAGGTTGATGCAGCTGATGCCCAGGTTATAGCGGGACCGTATATAGCCAGGCTGTAGCTCAAGGGCCCGACGGTATGCAGCTACTGCTTCTTCACTCTGGTTTCCATTGGCCAGGGTGGCCCCTAGCTTATTCCACAGCAAGTAGTCCTGGGATAGAGATGGAGAAGGGTCAGGGTCATGAGCCAGGCTCAGATCAAATTCTGCCCATTCCTCCCTCCAGTTCAACACGCTGTTTGGCTAACTTTTGTTATGATCCCATTCCTTTCTCCTCAACAGTTCATTATGTGGCCACAATATAACCACTCTCGCTCCATGCAGACTCCCTTAAGGGCAGATGACCCTGTATTCCCTTCTTTTCCCAATTCTCCCAAAGTAATCACTACATAGAACATTGGAATGAAATATCACATGACTCCAAAGGTCCCAACAAATGATTTTTCCTTAGGGTACAGTCATGTCCTATTTCCATTCCTCCCCTGAGGCTCACATTGGGACGAACGCTGAGGGCAGCTGTGAAACAGTCCACTGCCTTGTCATACTCCCCACTCAGGTTGAAAAGGACTCCCAGCCCACACTGTACATCAGGGTCAATGGACGTAGGGTCCAGGCGCACAGCTGCCAGGAAAAGCTCTTTCACTTCAAGAAACAGGGAGCTGAAAAAAAAACACAAAAAAGAATGTAGATGGATATGTCTATGTGCCTACCCCTCCGAAATAATTCCTTATTTATTCAATCATATCCCTGAAATTCAATCACATATCAGTCACCTCTCCTACTCTAATTCCAAGTTAGAAACCTGTTTTTCCGTCTCATCCCAGAATTACACTGTAGAAGGCCGACCTCCTTTAAGTGGACCCTGGGTCTCCCATCCCACTCTTAGACCCTTAAGTCTCAATCTATCCAAACTTCCAAAATCAAGGTTCTCCTCCTAATCAGGTTCCCATTCTCATCCCAGGAACTCCTCACTCACTCAGACAACAGAGAGCCCAGGATGCGCTTGCTGGGGCCCAGTCCTGCCCCACTAGCCCCTTCTTCCCCAGACACCACCAGATGGGCATAGGCTGGTGTGTAGCGCAGCCAGTCTCGCAGGGTTTCACAGGCCTGTCGCTGCAGGGACTCGTTGGTGAAGCTGACAGCCAGCGCCATCAGTGCTGTCCGGTTATCTGGCTTTAGCTCCAGACACCTGTGTGGACAGAGATGGGCAGAGCCGGTAACGCAGTGACACTAGCACCCGTCAGCACCATGGGATCCAAGCCAAGCTCTGGAACGCACAATCACAATGGCCTCACCCACCAACTCCCTAAGATGAAGATATAGAAGAAATCCTCTATATCTAAGTTATTAATAAAGTTACAGATCTTAGAAGGAGAACATTTTAGCTGCCAGGGAAACAGCCAGGGTCCCACAAATAAAACCAAAAGCTGTTGAAAGGATGCAACCAGTTATCTCTAATTCACTCCAAACCTTAGTTTCAATCATGAGAAACACTTTTGTTAGCAGCCAGAAAGGAAAGAAGGATCTGGGTCTGGGCTCCTTTCGCTCTAAAGGCTATTTGCAGAGTCCTAGAAGCAACTCACCCCACCTTTCGGTGTACTCACTTCCGCAGTGCGCTGATGGCTAACAGTTCCTGTTCATTTTCTGCCTGGGTGGTACCCAGATACTGCCAAGCCTAGAGAGAAGTTCACAGATTCCATCACCTATGTATTCACCTTTCTATCTTCCCTTCCTCTGGCTTCCCCCACTCACCATCTCACTCTCACCTCCCACCCCAGGCCATCATCCAGGCCCTAATCCATCTGCACCATTCTTTGGGGCCTCTAATTTGTAGTCAGAATAATGAGTCGCTCACTTCCATGTGCTTAGGATCATGCTGCACGGCTGCCTCAAAAAGGAGCACAGCATTTGGCAGGTCCCCCTCCTGAAGTCGCCGCAGCCCTTCCTCAAAAGGCTGGGGGTGGTCACGCAGGGGGTTCTCCTCCTCAAACTGGTACCCCTATAAGGAAGACAAGCCAAGTGAGAAACCAGTATGACAGGGAGCAGCAGAAATGAGAGATGACAACCAAGACAGAAGTGGAGAAGAAGATGAAGGCCTCCAAAAAAGTATCTGAATAAATGCTGGCAAATTGTCCATATTATAAAGGAGATCTATGACTACAGTAAAATCATTCAGTATTGTACTCATGCTGCTATCTCCTGTTCGCAATAACTAGAAAGCTAGACTAGTCTACAAACTCTGATCCATGCTGGGAATAAGCTTATTTTAGGAAGTCTTTAGAGGCATGTATATCCACATCCTTGACTTCTCACCACTGGACATAACATGTCATAACAGGACTTGCTTATAGTAATGAGATAAGCTCTCCTTAGCTATTCAAAGGGCATTTCCTAGCATTCTGCAATAGTGTGATGACGTATAAAGGAAAGGCAATCTGGAGTCAGAGGCCCTGCATTCAAATGCAACTCTTACCTAGCTCATGGTCTCACTGTCCACACTAATGGGATAACGTGTTCGAACACTTTGAAAATTTTAATTTATTCCCCAATTTCATTCTTAAAAGTTATTAATATTAATCTGTATCTGAGAGTAAATGAACGCTAGATCCTAAAATCCTGAGGACAGAAAATGCTGCAGAAAGACACTGTTCTCCTCCAGCTGAGGATTTCTCATTTGAGGGAAGAGTTATGATGCTATGTGCAAAGCTTCGTCTACTGGTATTTCGTGTTAGGCAGAGAAGTAATACGGTAAAATGGGAGTCACTAATAAGCTGTATGGCTTGGGACAAGCAAATAAAATGTTCCTTTTGGAGGTTACTATCACAAAACAGCATACCGCAATGACCAGATGCAAAACACCAGGCAGGGTAAATGTAGTAAAAGACAAATCAGAATGAAACTGTACATAACAAAAACATGAGTTGAGGCCCTTTTTCACTGTTTTTGTGAAACTGCAGAAAAACCAGAAACACATCTTATCAGAAAGTTAAAAGTCATCAGATGCAAATTATTTGTGACAAAAAATTAAATAATAACAATGGAGGTTTAAGGAGCAAAATAGATAAGAGATGAATTTGGGGTAAATGTATAAAAAGTATATTCATGTTGAGAATAGATAACGTTCCTGGGACATCTCTGTAAAATATGAAAACTCAGAATGTAAAAAATGACCCTTTACCAGGCATCAGAGCAAGCCTTATCAGTAAAGGGCCAGATAATAAATATTTGTCGAAACTACTCAACTCCATCATTGCAGTGAGAAAGCAAATACAGACAATATTTTTAAACATAAGCATGGCTTATATACTTTTCATATGTCACAAAATTTTTTTATTTTTTTATTTTTTTTTTTTTTACAAACACTTAAAAATGTTAACACCATTCTCAGCTCACAGGCCATAAAAAAATAGGTGGCAGGCCAGATTTACCCATGGGCCATAGTTTGCCAACTCCCATCTTAAACTATTAAAGTTCAACAAAATAAATCCTTCTGCATTCATTCTCAACTACTGTCCATCATCAGTACATGTTTTAAGCCACCCCATAGGAAACAGTGATCATTGCCATCTACAACACAATTTCCTAATGAAAGTAATTCCTGCCTCTCGGAGCTACTGAAAACATTAAATGTTCACCAAAGCTTTACCAAAAAGTTTAAAATACTATTCGTAAATAGATATTATCCTCAGCAGACAATCCAACAAGTCGGTGCCACCATGTTGCAACCACAGGGTTCCCTAAGTATCCTCTTGTCCGTGCTATCTGTTATCTATCCTCACCGAGGTTTTACAATTGCTGACCAGAGAGGAATTTTTCAAAATTAGAATATCTGCACAAATGAAAAAAAGAGTACTCTGGAGGAACCTCCAACAACCCACAGAATACAGGATAAGCTTGGGGTCGCTGTTTCATCCTAAAAAGTCTAATCCACGCCAATCATTAGGTCTGATCATTGTCTGGTCTATACAAAAATCTCATAAGATCACACTGCAAAAAACAGGATCACTACTAAGGCTGTGTCCCATCACAGAAAGTTCTCCTTTATGCTAACAATATATAATATCTGCTTGAGCCATAGGTGCTAAGTTGTCTCAAAAATTTAAGGACCACCAATAAAAAATTGTACATTCAGAGACCCATGAATGTATCTGAGAGTCAAATCCACATTTGAAAAAAAAAGTACTAATGACATATAATTCAGTAACAGTATACAGCCAGATAAAATCTGAATTGATCATTATTAGAGAGTAATAAAAGCACAGCACATTTTTGTGGCATATTAATGCAAATGTTTCTAATCCTAATTTTATAATATCCCAAGGTATCAGTGGTATCAAATAGGGTTTAAAAATATAAAAACATAAGTATATTTTTAAGTTTTGAATTAAAAAATTTATTCCGCCTGGATGTCATTAATATAGGAGTTAAAAAAAGCTAAGAGGAAATGCTGCTCACGTGAAACTAGTGCTATGTCTGTATTTATCAAAAGCATGTAAACTTTTATCTAAAGTTTTCTAACTTGCCATTTATAAGTTGACTGAGTCTATGCAAGTTATCAGATTTGTTAATACAAATTAATAAAAGTATCATCTCCAAGTATTTCCTTTAGTTCCTCCTCATTAGAATTCTATAGAAGAAACTCTTATTATGGCAAAATACACAGCAGGGTCTCAAGAAGCCAGCTCTCTTTTCTATTACATCACAGGAGAGCTCTCAGGAAATCAGGTTCGGATGATAAACAAAATCACATTTTTTCCTAGTACTAGGCTGATTTGCCAACGGCTTTCAAATCCTAGCCTTTTTTAAGTTATCTTGAACTTTATTCTTCTCTATCTTTGCTCCCTTATGTCAAGATCTATCTCCAGCATCCCGCCTTACATCTCAGGCTCTGGTTCTAGCTCCAGAATCCTTTTCCGACCAGATCTGAGCTGAGGAAAAGACATCACTCCTCACCTCCCCAGTCCCTGGTTTGCCTTTTACAAAGCCAAGCAAGTCTCTCCCTTCCCCATCATGCTGCAACTCAGCAGCTCAATTATTAACCACAACCTCAAATATCCTACAATTCACAAGTAATATTTTTTCACAGTGATATCCCTGAAATAACATATGCTTCTAAATTAATAATATATGCTATATGCAAAATTTGATCATCTTTCACCACTGACTGCTGGAAAACCTTCCTAACATTTAAGTTATTTAGCATAATTCTTTGAAAACACCCTAAATTGGGGCAAGTGGTTAGTATCTACAGGAAGAGATTAGAATGTAAAATAAACTTGTGAGTTCAAAAAGTAAATAGATTTTAAAATGTGGAGGCACAAAGACAGTCGACCAACTACCACTCTCTACCAAAGGAGTCATCAATCTTCTCAAAATGGTCTCAACCTCCAAAGCAGAGCTCTTTGGTCTATGCTCTTAATACATTATGTGCAAACATCTATCACAGGTATTATGTCACCGTATCATTGTTATTTGACAAAGGTGGTCTATTACCGTTAACCTTTATATCCTAAGAATAAAGCATAATCTCAATTACTAGAGGACAATAGAAGCAAGAGAATGTTTTATACTTCTTTTCATGGAAAGGGCCTCAAAAAAATAATTAACTAGAAGTGGGTACCCAAATTCAGAATTAAAGGAAAAACAACAAAACAAGAAAATACTGCAACCTGAAAAACCAGCTCTTGCCTTATCATAGGAAGCGGTTGTGAGGTCGTCATACTCAGAAAGCCAGGGGTGAGCCTCGGCTTCCCGTTTTGCCATCTCCTCCAACTCGGCCTGCAGCTTGTCCCAGAAGTCGACATCAGACTGTAAAGAAAGGAACAAGATAGAAAAAGGAGATCCATCATGACCACTCCACTCCACCCTCAGCTCCTTAAAGCAGTAGTCCTTAAATTTCAATGTGTTTAAGATCATCTTGAGAGTTTTTTTTAATGCAGATTCCTAGATCCTACTCCTAGAATCTGATTTAATCTGAGTTGATGCCCAGGAATGGCATTTGGAGGAGGCACCCGCCCCATCCCAAGCAAGTCTGACACAGATGACATTCATCATCTCTGAGGTTAACACACCCACTCTCTCCGATGGAGTCTTTTCCCCTTTGCAGTGTCTGTTCCTGCACTATCTGCTCTCACCTCTATAGCCGATTTGGCTCGTTCAAATTCCACATCAAGGGCAGATGTGTTTACTGGTCTCGTAAACTGGTCAACCCAGGCATCTGATGTACCCTGTGACAGAGAAGGCCTGGTCACACCACCACCAACGTTCCACTTGCTAAACACCAACTAAATACCACCAACCTGGACAATTCTGAGAAGAACATTCTCAGAATCTTTTTCCCACCCACTCAGGACCTGGATGCTACCAATACAAGCTGGCAATAAAATCCCTTACCCATCTGGGACCACTGAACACTGAACCCAAGGCCTAGGCACCAGCTGGCTCTGAAGTGGGACTGGGAAGTGACAATGTCCTACCTGCTGCTGTATAAACTCTGCTGCCCACTGTTCTGCCTGAGCTTGGCCCGACCCTGCACCGGACTCCAGGGACACCTGCCCCTCGCCAATCTGCCGCACGAATTTCAGGAACTGGGGCACAGAGACACACATAGGCCACTCGGGAGAGAACTTCCAGGTGTGCACTCTCAACCATGCCCAACAGGAGCCTGCACTTACTCCTCCCCCTGACCATCTCTAGCTGCAGACAAGATATGCTAAAGACCCTGCAAACACAGAGAGCAAAAAGAAGGGATTTCTGGCTCTAAAGATTTGAGAGGACACAGAAAAGAGAAAGGGTTAGCAGGCAAGGAAAGGAGGGAAAGAATGTTAGAAGGAAGAGGCGGGATCCTAGATCTCTGTTCTCCAGGAAAGAAGGAATGGACCTAGGATCTCATCTCCTGTTTAAACTAAACCTGGGTAAGAAAAGCAAGACCCTTGACTTCTAAGACCAGCTGTGCTGGGCAAAGCAGTAGTGGAGTGTGGCTCACCTCAGAGTTAGCCAATTTGGGGTCATCCACTTTGGCCACAAAGTCACTGGCCATGTGCTGCAGGTCCTCCTCAGGATGATATTCATCAGACCTGGAACAGATAAGAACAAACCAATTTTACACATTCGTCAGCCATCACCTTCCCCATGCTATTCTCCACTCCCAGCCCACAGCAATTACAGTTCCTGTGGAGGATAAGAGGGTGACCCTATTCCACTCTCTTGCGGAGGACCTACAAAGCACTAGCTATATCCTTTTACCTCTCTGTTTCCAAAACACATCTTTGCAGAAAGAAGAAATAGACAGACTCAAATTAAAAAGGGAACAGGGTACCTAAGGCAAATTTACAAACTTTTGGTTAGGATAGTTAGAAATCTTGACCCAATTATATTTGAGACATAAATTCATAGGGGTCATAATACAAGTGGAAACCTTAATGCAGAAAATAAGGGGATATGAGTTGGTTTGGACATGTGAATGAAGAAGGCTGGGAGAGGCTGGGAAAACTGTCTAATCCTCCTTTCACAGGGACCCATCCAGAAAGCAGCAGCTGCACTCACCAGCGATCAGTGGCAGCTGTTCCCTCAGGCTCTCCCAGCCACAGCTTCTCCTCTGACTGCTCCAGATATTCCTCAGCCCAGCGGGCAGGGGACACAGACAAGGGGTCTACAAGCAATAGAGAGTTGGGGAAATCACACAGGATTCAGTGAGGGATCAGACAAAAAGACAGTCCTAATTTAATCAAGCCAAAGCAGATGAAATCTTATTCATCACTGACCCCTGGTCAAAAAAATATAGATATACTACTAAATTTTCAATATCCAAACAACACCCCCAAAGGTCCCGGGCTAGAAATTTACTGAGCTGAGAACAAGAAACAAAACAAGGAGGCTCAGGAAAAGAGTAAGGACCAAACCCTTTTGCACGAAGTGCCAGAGACTTCAAAAAAAAAAAAAAAAATAGCAGGCACTAGGGCCTCCACCTTCCTTGAAGGTGCTGCAGGGAAGCAGCGACAAGCTAAGAAAGAACAGAAGAGCTCCTGTTCCTTGACCAAATCTCTGGTCTGTTCTCCATGCACAGAGTTCACACCCTCCCAACGAAAGGAGCCTCATATTTCATCTTAATATACCTACCAAGAGAATCTGAGAAGCGGAATGCTGGGCTAGAATTAAAAGATACATGGGTCCACTCTTCTCACTGGATATTTATTTTTTTCATTTTTTAATTGAGATGTAACATACAAACGTGAAAGTACATAAAGTGTACCAAACATAAGTAGACCACTTCATTAATTTCTACATATAAATACACTCAAATCGCCACCACTCAGATCAAGATATAAAACACTTTACAGTTCGCTTGAAGGCTCCCTCATGTCCCCATCCCCCCGGGATAAACATAATTCTGACTTAAGTCACTTTTGATTAGTTTTAAGGGCTATGATTTTTAGACTTAATTCCGAAACTGTCTTAGCTCTAGTGGCAAAGGGTACTGGTGCAACTTCAGAACAAGGGCGACAGATCGAATGAGGGGGCTGAACTGTTTCTCAACCTCCAGGACTTTGCCCTTTACTATTCTGGGGCCAGGAAAAAAGGGAGCGGGGCAAGGAGACTATTCAAACAGGCCCTAAAGAATGAATAAACATAGAGAAAGCATGAACCTGCAGTGCTCATTCCTTCTGCTCTGTATCCACATCTTTTCAAACCAGATGTTACAACAGTCATCCTGTCTTGTTTCCAATTTGAAGATTTGTCATTGCTTTTAACACTGAGAAGGCATAATCATCCCCTCAGTATTAGTGTTTAGAACTTTATATTCCATTTAATTGAAACTTTGCCTGAATAATTTCAACAAAGTAATCTCAACATCTGAGAAAGTAATGTCAAAATCTAAAAAAAAAAAGAATCAAGACTCTCAGAGTACACCTACTTATAAAGAAATAATATATTACTAAAATAATAAAAGAGTTGACCATTTTTTTAATCATAAATTCTTTCTCTTAATTTCAAGGGCTCTCAACATTTATACCCTGATTTCTCTCATTAGTTCTTACAGGCAACATTTCTCTTTCCTTTGCCCCAACTAGACTGTTGGCTCAAGAATAGAGACCTAATAAGGAGATGTTTAATACTTAAATAGACTTTATAATACCTCCCCTTTCCTTTGTCCCATTCTGTTGAAAAATAACCAGTCCCTCCTCACTCTTCAGTCACGCCTTACTCTCAACTAGAGTGTTTTGCAGAAGCATACTCTGGCCGCAAGTGCTCCTTGAATTATAGAGCACCGTTTCTGTGAAAGCTCCTCTCAAGAGCAAGAAGCAACAGAGAAATATAAAGCACCTGGACTTTAAAACAGACATGAGGTAGATTAGAAGCAAATCCCAGAGGTAAGAAAAGTCATCTCCAAATAGCTGTAATTTGGTATTTGGTCATATCAGCCACAAGATGCAAAATTTTCTGGCATTGAGAACCTGCTTCAACAAAGAAGTCAAAATAAAATAACCAAAAGAACACTACTTGGCCTTCACAATATTTTTTGAAAAATTCTTACAGAAAATCCGATCCTTTTGGATACCTCTGAAATTGAAGCAACTAAGGCCTGCAGAGGGGAAAGGACTGTCCTAGGGTCACAGAGATTAGCAGAGTTAGAACCAACAATCTAGAAACCAAATATCCAATTCAGAATGTTCACCTCATACAGCTCTCATAGTGTGCTCATTCCATCTGAGCACATCTACTCTAAGCTCAAAAGATAAAAACTTAGAACTTCCTACCTATCCCCATGAAAGTTTCTGCATTTGCTAAAAAGCACAGTGGTAAAGAATGTAGGTTCACAGTCATCCTACGTGCACTCAAATCCCAACTGCATGACTTATTCATTGTGTATCTTCAGACAAGTTACTTAACCCTCTAAATTTTCACTTCCTTATCTATGAAATAGAGATAATTATAGCTACCCTACAGGGACTGTTGTGAAGACCAAATGAGATAATGCATACATAAAATACAAAGTAACAAATATTAGCTATTATTATTATCATAGCTGTCCGCTCAGGGCAAACCCACACCAAAAGTAGAAAACAACGTAAGGAGAACATTATTCCTTCTATTCCATAGCCTCTACCTCTGCCATCCAGGGGAGATCTATGGCATTCATCTTCTGCTACTGCTGCCCACTGCTTTTCCTTTGAAAGTGCAAGTTTATCTTTCTAGATTATCATATGAACCTCATATACCAAGTTAGCTCAGGCTCTCTAAATTCAAAACTCCTTAAAGATGTATTTCATTCCTAGAGCTGAATAATCATGAGATGGAGAATTTTTTAGCCCATAAGATTAAGGGGTGGGGGGATTCCATCAAGAAACATGGCAGACTAGAAAATGAGCTTCATGTGGTGATCGAATAATTCTATATCTTGATTGTGGTGGTGCTTACACAAATCAACACATGACAAAATCACAGAAAAATACAAACATACACACAAATAAGGGCATGTTGAATTGGTGAAATCTAAAAAGCTCTGCAGATTGTACCAACAGCAATATCCTGATTTTGATATTGTGCATAACTAACAGTTATACGAAATATTACCATTGGGGAAAACAGAGTGAAAGATATGCAGAGCCTTTCTATACATTTTTGGCAACTTCCAATGAAACTATAATTATTTCCAAAGAAAACACTGAAACAAGAAAAAAACTAAACTTCAAGGTTCTTTTTAAACAATTCTAGAATCTTAACAATGGAGATTTGAAAATAATAAGGATTTAACAACATATCCTCTCATCTCAAAGTCTACTTATCCATAAAGTAATAGGTAACTTATATCATCAATATAATATCCGCAAATGTTATGAGGATAATAAAAAAGTTAATTACTAGAAAATCAATTTCCTTGAGCTCTTTCTCCCAAATCTCATTTCATTCATTCAATAAATACTGAAGGTGCACTACATTCAAAGCAATATACTACTGCGATAGGACATTTTTATGAAGGCAGACCCCAAATAGCTCAACTTCCCTTTCTAGCTTCCCATGTCCCTGCCTGTGAAGCAGGCAGTTACAAAAGAATGCATATAACAAAAGAAAGAGATATCCCAAAGAGGTCTAATGTGTTTTTCTAATGTTGTTTTTCAATTATAACTTAAGGAAGATTTCACTAATTGCAAGCAATTCAAGTATTGTAACAAAAATCTCATCAATCTCAATGCTTGCAGTAGCAATGATTTTATTTTGAGTTATGAAAAATAAGTGATGCCCACACATTATAAGAAAAGTCTCTCTGTGATAAGAGATAGCACTTAAGTCTAAGGTTTTTATTGGAAACTGAGTTTCAGTCTAGTGGGGAGTCTATTACTGCTCAGATTTTCACTTGAGGTAATTCCACAGAAAAGATTCTCAATGATAGTATAATGGTTCTAAGATGGAGCCTAGCATCAAACAGACATGAGAGTTTCAACATCATCTCCGTTACTGAATGATTTTGGACAAAGTATTTAACCTTTCTAAATCTTAGTTTCCTTATACATAAAATGGGGAAGGAGTACCTACCTTATAAGTGTTACCGTAGAGATCAAATGGGTTTAAGAATATGACATACTTAGCACTATTAATGAAACCAAGAGCACCTACTGTTAACCTTAAACTCCAACTTAAGGGAAGGAAAGGCAGTCATTATAAAAGAGACTAGTAGCTTTTATTAAAGGTGAGCTTTCGCTATTAGATTTTGGGGTTTTTCTCTTGTGTGAAGGAAGCCCTATCTTTAGGAGAATAAAAATGATGAGGGGAGAAACCAATTAGGTCTTATTAACCCTCTCCAGAAAATTCAGGAACTATGATGACGTGAGCACCATGAGAGTCTAGAATCTTTGTAACTTTCTCCATTTGTATCTCATGTTATTCTCGATTTCTTAAATTGGAAAAAGGCTAACAATGGTTCTCTTTGAGAGTAATTGGGAAAAAGAAAAACTGAAGAGAATGCCCTTCTCCCATGCCCCTAATCAGATCAGCTTAGGGGGAGAAAAATCAATCCCAAAAGATGCAGTGAGCATGGGACACTCTCAAAGAGGGAAAATTTGGCTGAGACCTGAAGAGCTGAAGTTGCAGGCCTGGCAGTACTGCATAATAGTTAAACCCACATGGTCTGGAATCATTCAAACCCAGAGTCAAATCCTAACTCCACCATTCACAAAGCTGTCACCTTGGGCAAAGTTTTCTTATCTGTAAACTAGGAATAAAAACAATAACTATCTCAAAGTTCTCGTGGGATTAAAAAGATAATGTATTTAAAGTACTTCATACAAAGTCTTAAACACAGTAAAAATTAGCTATTATTATTAATTTTTATTATCATGACTAAGGTATGGTCTTTATCCTCCAAGACCTTATATCTCAAGCCCTTGAACTCAACAATTCTACTCTCCAAGGCCCAACCCTGTTCAAGACGACTTAATGCCAGAATTTCATGGGCTATGCTAAATATTTCTCTCTTCCTGGGCCACACCGCCATCTACCTAATCTTTCCACCAAACCATAGCAATAAAGTTCCAGGTAACAAAGAATTTAACATAACTCCTCGTGTGTCTGTCTCTCTGTCTCTCTGTCTCTCTGTCTCTCTGTCTCTCTGTCTCTCTGTCTCTCTCACACACACACACACACACACACACACACACACACACACACACCCCTCTTATCCAGTTCAAACCTAATCCTTTGTTTAATATAACTTTCAATTCCCTATTATTATCACCTAAGGGAAATCAGGTTCCATACGCCATAGAAATGAGTCAAAGAGTACAGAAAAGTCATAAGCAGCTGAAATCTCTCTATATCCTAAGATGAATTAGGGTAACAGTATAGAACTTTGCCCCATAGGAACTATTTTAGATTTTACCATGATGAGCCTCACCTGTAACTTCAGAGATGAATTCTTGGGACCAGTCAGTCTCATTATAATCCTGAGTTACATCCACAGCATCTCCAGCTGCAAGAAACTCTTGGGCCCAGTTCTCAGACAAGGCCAAGTCTGCCACACCAGGGGCTTAAGAGAGAGAGAAAGAGAGAACACTAAGAAATACATATCTCTATATCGTGCCTGAGTGCACATGAAAATTGTTTCCTTGTGCATCTCAGTTCCCCAGTCCCAGCAGCATCCAAATATGAAGCTCTCTTGGCCCTATCTGCACAGAAAATGGTGCTCTCCCTTTCCACCAGACTCTGGACCCACCTCTCTGGGGTGCGTGGCGAAAGCTTGACTGTTCAATCTCCTGCATCTCTGCCAGGAGGTCATCCATCTTGAAGGTCTGAGGGGCACGGGATACAACTGGTACATTCTGGTCCTGGAGGAACTCAGCCACCAACTGTTAGAAGAGAGATGGTGAAATGAAGAGATGGACCTACTGGATGGGAGATATTCATGTCAAACACAAGGGAAGGAAAACACAGAAACTATAGATTTGGAAATACTCAAAGAATACATTTAAAAAAACAAGAGGGCTAAGGTAAATTTCATTTGGTCAGGAAAGTCCAAAGACTGAAATAAGGGTGAGCAAAGTTTAAAATAAAAACAATGGGCAAATGAAAAATGCAATAGAAGAGACTGGTATATTTACCTCATCCTCAGAGGCCACTCCCAAAGGCTTAGAGACCTAGGACAGAAGAGAAAGGAGAGACAATATGGTACAGTGGTGAAGACCAGACACACAACTCAAACATTGGTTAAAATTCCGGCTCTGCCATTTATATGACCTGGGGCAAGTCACAAAACTTCTCTGAGCCTCCGTTTCTTCATCTATAAAATGGATGCCTTCATCAATGTAAAGATGTACAGTGTTTAGTACACTGCTTAGTAAACACTCATTAAGTGGTAAATATTACTATTTGCAACACAATGGAGAAAGTATCCCAAGCCACCACTTGGGCTTTCCACCTCAGGAACACTCACCGCCTCGGAGGCTGGGGTTCCTGGGGGCCAGGGGCCAGGCCTTAACCCCTCCTGACGCAGGGCCTTGTCCTGGGTGAAGTGCCCCGCCAGCTTCATGAGCGGGTTGGCACCCCCGCATTCGGCCTCCACCAGCTCCCGCATTGCCATGGTGACCGCCAGCGCTCTGATGGGCAGAGAAGGTTTGGAACTGAGGTCCAGTAGTCATACCTTTCCCCAACCCCAACTCAGGCCGGATCTGGGGGAGACGAGTAGATAACTATCCCAGGTTGTTAGCCACTGGCCACCTTCCATCTCTGTGCCTTTTGCTGTGGCCCCCACCTCTGCCAGGAGTCGGAGAGGGGACCGATGCCCTCCTGCCGCCCCCAAAGGCCACTGCTTCCAGCTGGGGCCTCTCCAGAGGCCTCCATGACTGCGGTCTCAGGCGGCGGCAGGACTGGGCGACAACCGCCCAGCACCGAGGGGCCTGGACTCAAGGAGACTACGTGGGGACAATTCCGCAACCGGCTGTAGCGGGGCACTTGCCAAGCAGGGAAGAGTGGGAACGCCGCCTGACCGTAATACCAGTCCCCTACACTCCCTGTCGTCGGACGAGCACCGCGTGGGGCCATCCCCTCACCCAGTGTCACCTGAGCCCCTCCCCCAGGTCCGCCAGTCCGGGCCCACCCCTCTGGCGCTCCGGACCACCCCATCTCCCGCGCCCCAGTCGCAGCTCCAGCCCTGCCTCCAGGACCCGCGAGAACAAGGCAAGGATGGGGAAAGACCCGGAATATGTCCTCGCGCCCCCTAGGCCCTCTGCTCACCGCCGCGCGTCGCGCCGCACGACCCGCCGGGGCACCAGGTGCCGGCTGGAGGGGGAAAGGAAAGGAGGGGGACTGGGAGCCAGGGGAGGAGCTCGAGCTTAAAGGGGCCGTGACCGCCGCGCTGCTGTCGCTGAGTCGCGTAAACTGTTTTAAGGGGCGGGGCCTTAAGACTGCGACGCAGCGTGACAGGAGGAACCGTGAGTCTTAAAGGGGAAGTCGTCGATGTCGACTCAGAGTTCTTAAAAGGATCGCGGACTCTAGGACTTGTTTGATGGAAAGCCCAAAGAACAATGGAGCTAGGAGGGGCTCTCTGAGCTTTGGCGAAGCCAGGGTTTCGGGATACTGGGCTCAGCTCATTCTTGTTCTCCCCCCGGGAGGTGCACTGTGACTCAAGGGGATTCCTGCCCTTTCTAGGCCTCAATTTCAGATAAAGGCCTTGACACGGGAGTTGCTAGGGTCAAATCGGGGGCCTACTTTCTAGCCTTCTAGGCCTGCCCCCTTCCAAATTGCCTCTAGCGGGACTGTCATAATGTCCATGGAGACAAAGGCCTGCCCCCAATCCCTCTGCCACCTCTACGTAATGAGGAAAATAGCACTGGATGATGACAAATTCCAGAGACTAAAATAGAGTCCAATGCATCCTGAGACCTCAAGCTGGTAACCTACAGGGAAGGTGCACAGTGAGTCACTCCTCTTTCCTCCTTCCTCACTACTTGTCCAGGTCACCTTGGTGGTATTATTCCCACTGCTCCAAACTAGGAAAGCATAGACATGATGCAAGAAACGGTTTTTAATCATAGATTAAGCCTCAGGCCCCACCATCTACTACAGAATTGGGTCTGGTGTCAAACCTCAAGGTCACTGAGAAACCCTGAAATCTCACCTGTCTCCAAAATGAAGGGAGTCCTGATGTCGTGAAGAAGGGCAGGAGGTGCTCAGGGCTGCTGGTAGGTAAGCAAGGATGATGGGCTAGAGCCAAAAGGTCAGAAGTCCCAGCCCAGCCCAGGGTGCAGGAGAGGAGACTGATAGACAGCAGGTGGCGCCCTGGGACAGGTTTGTTTTCTGGCTGTCCTGCAGATTTCAAAGATGGAGGCGGCAAGGGACCAGAGGTACGTTGCTGCGTATACTTATTTCTGAGAAGGCAAGGAAACTGCTCTGACACCTCAGGGGAACAGAAAGACGGACAGGCTTGAAAATTGTGCAAAATGTCTCTTTACCTTTCCACCATCTTTCAGAGGCCCTAACCCCATACCCTTTTTTCTCCTTGTACACAAATCCTATCCATTTCATGTTCACTGTTCTCAGGCTACCATTGTAAAGCAAATACCTGGTACCTAATAAAATAAACCATTCCGAAGAGGAAGGGATGCCCACTGGGAAGTACATACTTGCAAAAAGAGGATCCCTGGAGAGGGCAATGTGTAACTGAAAGCATGTAATATGGTAGAATTTCAGAAAATCAAGGAGGACTCCCCAGTACCACTCAAACCGTATCACACACATAACTTTCTGTTCTGCTAGGAGAGTAATAACTGATTAGCAATAACTCACTATGTACCCAGTGGGGAAATGATAATAACTGATGTTTATTGAATGCTTACTAAAATCTAGGCATTGCACTGAACACTTTATGTGCAGTAGTGCTTATAATCTTCATAATGCCCCTATGAAATCAGTATTACTAACCCTACTTTATAGATAAGACATCCAAAATCACAGCTAGGAAGTCCAAACATAACTCCAAATACCTACCCATTATACACCCCCATCTCCCAGTTTGGTCTCCTACTCCATAGACTTCTTGACATAAACTTGACTCACAAGTCCAAGAAGGACTCTGGTGCTAAGAAAGGACTAATTAAGACACTTCAGTGTTTAATATTTAGTTTATCAAAGTTCTATATATAAAATTCTAGATTTTGTTAATCCAGGTTCAATTTATAAATTATATTTATAAAAATATTTTTATTAAATGAAATAATCCTTTTTACTTACTCTTTAATGTTTGATTAAATCAAGTTTAACAATATGAGTTTAGATACTTATATCGTATTTACTATGTATCAGGCATTATTCTGGGTATTTTTCAAATATTGATTCATTTAATCTTCACAGTAACTTAGTAATAACAACTATTATTATCCCCATTTTACAGATGAGGAAATTGAGACACAGAGAAGCTAAGTGACTTGCCCAAGCTTATACTCATGTTGCAAAACTGTGATTTGAACCTATACCAGGGTCATAAGCTTTATCTATAAAGAACCAAACAGTAAATGTTTTTGTCTTTGTAGGCCTTGCAGTCACTGTCACAACTACTCGGCTCTGCTGTTATACCATGAAAGCAGCTGTAGACAATACATAAACAAATTAGCATAGCTGTATTCCAATAAAACTTTTATGGACACTGAAATGTGAATTTTGTATCATTTTACATGTCTCAAAATATTATTCTTTTTATTTTTTTCAACCATTTAAAAATATCGAAACCACTCTTAGCTTACAGACTGTACATAGACAAGCTATAGGCTTGCTGACCCCTGTTTGCTGACCCCTGACCTTCACAATCTGGTTCCAGAGTCCATGCTCTTATACATTATGCTGGACTTTCTCTTTTTAAAAATAAAAATTTCATTTCCTTAAATGTTTTAAACCTAGTGGCATTTAATATACTTATACTAAAGCATTTTAAAATGCCCAACAAGATGAACCTATCAGGCAAAATCTTTCTAAACTCTTATTCAATCCTGTAAACCTAACAAATCAAGCTTATAAACATTTATGAAATTCTCTTAGTCCTCTTAAAATCTCGTCTAAAACTTTACTTCCCAAATTGAAGTCTAATACATAAGATTCTCTTAACTCATAAAGTCATTTACACACCTCTGGAAAGCAAATTTACTGACATGCATATGTCAAGATTACTGGTTAAACTTGGAACCACAGTACGAATAAAAGAGATTTGAGACAAAGACACAACACTTAAGAGGTACATATTCACAGGGCAATGCTATGAATTACAAGCAGACATTCTCAGTCCTGTTTTAAATGAGTTCTGTCTACTGTGTCATGAATCCCTAAGGCCATTTTCTTCAACTAATAATAATATCCAACTCGCAAGTTACAATTTTATCTAGTTTTTATTGTCTCATTTAAATGCAACTAATTTCTTTCGCAACTCTACTTGAGTCAATGAATCTCTTTAATTTGTAAGTATAAAATTCTGTATTCCTTTTTGTTAGGGGAGGAGTTGGAAATGAGGAACCACCTCATCTGGTTAGATTCTTAAGTTCATTAACGACATAAGATGCAATGTAATGGAAGTACCTATGCTCTGGAAATTGCAAATGAAGGTACGGGCTTCACACACGTACCTTCAGAAGGGTTTGTTGATTATAATTACTCATTCTCCTTTGAGCTTCAATAACCATCATTGGCAGAGACAGCTTGCAAAGGAATAAAATTGTATGTGTATAGTGAGAAGCAGCAAATTCCAAAGCTCGGCCCATCTAAGTATATCTGGACAAATCTCAATTTGCTTTAAAAGTTTTCAGAGTAATGAGATCTAGATGTACCCTGGTATATCCAGTACCTCCAGCCTAGGTTTGGGTACAAGTTACCCAACTCCATTCTGGACACACAGCAGGGAACTCCCCCAGACAGCAACAAGGACTGTGCTATTTTACCCCTGCTTGTAGCAATATCTTACCACCTTTAGAAATCTAGGGAAGTTTCAGAATGTGTCACCTTTGCCAAAATCCAGTCAGGAACACTTTGAGCCTCTCCCCTGAACCCCAGAAGGAGGGAAGGAAAGGAAGAAGGAAAGAGGGAAGGAAGGAAGG